TAACCGTATTTTATGTATCCGTTAGTGAATTATTTCAACCCCACGTGTCAACGGAAACTTTTACCAGCAGCCGGATTCCAACTTTCGCTATCGCTAAAATGCTAAAGCTAAAATTTTATCAGAATTTTTGTAAATCTCCAAAAATTGCGATTCAAGCGGAGCTTTGCAGCCCCTGGAACTGTCAAATTTTTGTTTCTATTTCAACGGGGAGAAATAACTATACTGTGGAAATAATGAAATATATACTACGTTTATACGTTAGCTATTTGCGAATAAAAAATATTTGCAAATGCCTAGCTCACTGTTTATATGACGGTGAAAACTTCCTTTTCAATATTGCCTGATTATAAAACGGCAATAACATGACCATCAAAAAAGAAAATAAATGCAAAAAATACCAACGTCTTGTTTATAAAAAGACAATGGGATGACCATTGAAAAGCGCTTAATTGCAAATAATACCACTAATCAATACTTATTTGCGGGACTTAGTTATTTACATATAAAAAATAAACTTTGCGTTTATGCGCAAAGTTTAGCATTTTGAAACTGGTTATTTGCGAATAATATATGCGTATAAACGTAGTAATAAATAAGTAATATTCACAAAGAAAATTAAGTTACCAGCGGTCAGTAAAAAATAATTTTAAGTAAATGTGTCACAAAGCAGCATTACCATTTGTGAAAAAGATATGTTTTATGGTGACAGTAGAATAAGAATCTCTGCTCGAGGCATGTCTGCCAGATAACATGTAGTCTATATATTTTTTTAATTTAAGAATTTCAATATAGCTATAATTAATCGATTTAAGAAACCATCTACATTTTTCTTTTTTCAATTAAGCTCAAAATATTTACAAGCACAAACTTTTTTCTTTTGTCACTCCTCCGTTGCTTTTTTCCATTTTTCCGACTAGTTAAAAAGTTTTTTCTATATAGTTGAGTAGTTTAAACGAACAACAATAGAAAAATTTTTTCTCTTCGAAAATTTTTAACTTGTTTAAGCGAAAAATAGAGATTTTTAGCGATGCAAAATGCACTGGAATCGCAATTTTAGCTATATAAGCTGTCAAAACAGTTCACCCACTTTATCCGATTCATTTGTTCATCGCTAAGATCTACCATAAAGTGAATTAAAAATGGAATTTTTTTTTTTTTTTTACCATTCCAGCGCATCCGCACGAGGGGCGCAGTCCGCATGACGTACGGAACCAGTATTTTCAATCCTTGCGCCGAGTCACGATAGGCAGGAGTTTGTTAAGTGTCGAGATCTAAAACTGTTCAGCTACAGAACTAAATTCATCAGCCGATTTTATGTCTTTATTTTAATGATTCATTTATTGAGAGAGGACAGTATCGATTTCTTAATGCTGAAAAGCGGATCTGATATATCAAACGTGCTGGAATGAGAGTTAAAATCCTGGCATAAGCAACGGAGTGGGTCGTGCAATTCAAAATTAGTTTTACAAGCTTTCAGAAATAGGGGCAAAAGTGTCTTGATACCCGGGAGGGAACATTAAGGCTAACTTCGCCAAGAAGAAGCGGACTTGAAATTGAGCCTGTTAGTAATTTAACTATAAAAATTGTACCAAGCATTTGCCTGCGGCCGGAGTGGAGGAAGATTAATAAATTTTAATCGGCTCGTATAAGGTGGAAGGTTATATTGAGAATCCCAACGGAAATTTCTTAAAGCAAAAAGTAGGAATTGTTTTTGAATTGATTCCATCTTGTCTGAGTAAATTTGATACCTTGGATTCCAAACCACCGTATTCCAGAATTGGCCTAACTAGTATTGTTAAAAGGGTTTTAGTGATATAAGGGTCACAAAATTCTTTTGACCAACGTTTCCCAAATGCAAGTACACCTTTAGCCTTGTTGACTGTCACATTAATATGAAGATTAAAATTAAGCTTAGGATCCATTGTGATACCAAGTTCCACAAAATTGTATACCTGTTCCAGGTTATGGTTACCTATTGTATAAGAAGCGGGATGAACAGCTCTTCGCGAGAAGCTCATTACTTTACATTTCATAAGATTTAGAGGCATACGATTTACTTGACACCAGTAAGCCATGCTGTCTAAGTCTGATTGTAGCAAAGACCTTTATTTAATTGAAACGTACGATTTATAAAGCTTTACATCATCTGCATACATTAAAATTTTGGAAAATTGTATATCTGTAGAAATATCGTTTATAAAAAGCAAGAACAGAACCGGGCCTAGGTGGCTACCTTGAGGGACTCCTGAAGTAACATCAATGACGTCAGAGATAGTATTTTTAAACATTACCCTTTGTGATCTATCATAGAGGTATGAAGAGATCCAACGTAGAAAATTAGGTGGAGACCAAGAAGATCAAGTTTGTAGATGAGCAACGAGTGGCACACTTTGTCAAATGCTTTACTGAAGTCAGTATATATAACATCAACAGTTTTGCTTTCACTAAATGCTTTTGAGATATAGGATGTTAATTGGAGTAAATTTGTAGAAGTTGATTTGCCCTTGCAAAATCCTTGTTGACTATATGAAATGCTAGAAGAGATAGAATGCGTCAACTGATTTGTTATAATTGCTTCAAATAATTTAGGAATTGCAGAAAGCTTAGCTATTCCCCGGTAGTTCTCCACTGAAGATCTGCTACCGCTTTTATGTAACGGGGTTATGAACGATTCCTTCCATATAGTTGGAAAAACGCCCTCTTTAAGGATAAATTAAATAACGCTGTTAACGGCTCATAGAGATAATCAGAACAATTTATAAGAATACAAGTAGGGACCATAACTGAAGGACCGCTTTAAGGATTTCAGATAAACTACTACATCATTGGGAGATATTACTGGGATATTTATTGAGTTCATTGGACATAGTTTAAAAGGATAGTCAATGTTCGCATGTGAGTTAATGGAATAGTTGGACTTAAAAAACTGAGCGAACATGTTAGAAATTGGTTGATTATCACTAGAGACGGTATTTTGATGGTATTTTAGAGATGCCTTTTTAAGATAGAATGGCAAAAATTGCTAAAATTCATTTAGCATTTTTTGGCGATGGAGTTTTAGTGATAGCGAAAGTTGGAATTCGGCCGAGGCACTTCTATTTTAGCAAAGGTAAGTAAAGTTTTTTCCTACCTCGTCTACCCGCTTTCTGTAGAATGCCCGTCTACCTAATAGCATGGGCCGAAAATCCGCTTTTTGAGAATTTTGATTTGTAAAAGCAAAAATATGGTTCATTATGCTCTAAAAACAATCTGTGTGGAAGATGACAACTTTTGGTCAATATCTTAGGCTCGCCCAAGTCCATCAAACCTCAAGTGCTAAGAAAATTTTTGCTTAGCTTAGTTCGATTCTTTCCAAAAAAAAGTCCATAAACCAAATTATGTAGGACTAATACTTTCGAAGATACTTGTAATTTTAGTAAAAAAAAAAATATGTATTAATTAACGTATTTATTAATTGTTATTTTTTGAGCACATTGAACCAGGGACGTGAACCGGTTTTGAACCGAACCGGTTTTGAACCGGAAAACCGCTTTTTTTCTATTAATTAACTGAACCATTAACCGAACCGAAATTTTCCACAAATGTTTGATCCGTACCGAAAACCGAACCACTCTCCATAAAGGTTTAAAGGTTCGTTTCAACCAAGTTTTAATAGATAAATGTACCCACTTTTTTCTTTTTGTTAAACATGTTAATACCTACCATGTTTATTTACCATGTGACAGTATCAAATTTAAAGGCAACTCATTTCATTTGACAGACACTTGTCCCTTTACCTTGCGCGTTGTTGCACTTGACTCTTGACACTTAAACTTCCGCGTTATTTTTTATACCCGAGCGCACTTGTGCACAAGGGTATTATAACTTTGGTCACATAACGGCTGTTTGTAACAGGTAAAACGAATCGAGATAGATATAATGAAAGAAAAGAGAAATCAATTAAGCGGTGACTGTCTGTCCGTCCGGCGGTCCATCTGTGCACACGATAACTCGAGTAAAAATTGAGATATCTTAACGAAACTTTGTACATGCACTTATTTCAAAATCAGTACATATTAAAGTTAATTTTTTTAAAATTGATGCTTGCGACAATCCTTCACCAAGAAATATGTCTATGATAAAATTTTGGAAAACGGGCGTGGCACCGCCCACTTGTGATCACATATATGTATCTCGGTAACCGGTCTACCAATTTATACCAAACTCGGTATGGCTATTGTGCTTGCCAAATAAAAGCAAAACGATGAAAATTATTGAAATCAGACTAAAACCGAGGCCGCTTTTCATATAACGGTAAATTTCAGAAATGCTTGAAACTTCAATATTTCGAAATTTAAGGACGCTAAATTACTCAAAATTGACACACCCCGGCTTACCATGTTGCGGTGGCTTTCGGAAAGGTGAAAATCATATATTTAATACTTGCGCCGGGTATTTAATGTTCGGCTCCGCCCGAACTTAGACTTTATTACTTGTTTGTTTTTCGACCCGTTGAACCGAACCGAAACCCCGGCTCAAAGACCAAAAAACCGCTTTTACGAACCAATCCAAAAGTGCAGAAACGGTTCGAACCTCTGAACCGAACCGACAAAATTTTTCATCCGGTTCTCGTCCCTGCATTGAACTTTGATGGACATAGGCGAGCCTAAGATATTGACCAAAAATTGTCATCTTTCACACAGATTGTTTTTAAAGCATAATGAATCATAATTTTGGTATTACCAATCAAAATTCTAAAAAAGCGGATTTTCGGCCCACGCTACTAGTCAAGCAAGCAGATACGGGTGCATTCCTAAATACATATAACTCTACTTAAAAACTTAAAAAATAAGTTAGGTCTGGGGCCTACATTTAAAATGTTTTCATCCTAGCCTATACGAATTTTTGTATTAATTGGCTAATACATAAATAAATGAGCAAATAAAAACAAATATATAAAAACAGGAAAGGAAACTGTTTTTTTTTAATCTAATTTATAAACACCAACTCAATTTTATCAAATGGTTTATTTTTAATTGATTAAAATATACGTTTTTCTTAAACGATAAAATAAGGATTTAAAAATGAAAATAGAACTCCAGCAAAAATTCCAGTTATGAGCATTGCAGCTGCAAACATTCCAGCTTTCACTTGGTGTTTTGGTTCAACTGTTTGTGGTGCGTACATCATGGCCAATGAACTAGAAATAGAAGTTATTTTTCAATAAGTGAACTTTTTCAGAACGATTTATTTAATTTTAATGACAGGCTTATAACAAAATCTTACAAATTTAAGCCAATTACGCACTCATCAGTATATAAGATTTAAAGGAATCTCCCAACACAATTTTTCTATGCTTCGGTTGTTCGAATAACTACATATAGTAGATACATACTAGCAAAATTGTTTGAAAGGTAATACGAGGGTCACTAAATAAGGCCTTAGATTTCGCAATGCTAATTTCAAGTCCATACACTCAGGGCCTGCACAATTGGCATTTATATTTAACTAAACTGTTGAATTTTATTATTGTAACTAGTAATAATCCCCGAAAATCGGTGTGCTCCGTGGTTTAACAAATCTGCATATATTTCTTTATTCTAAAAACCACATGCATTGATTTTGGTAGTTAACTTTAACTTTGGTATTTTGGCAAGATCATACTCTACTCCAAATATGGGAACATTTGCCCGTATGAGCTTTTTTGCCTGTATGCAGTGTTTTCAGGTCTTCGGCATGAGAAAACGTTCCTCTTGGTCTGAAAAAACGTCATTTCCTACATAAAACAGTCTTTTCCAAATGTATGCACAAAGAATTGTTCTTATTAAACTTATATTGTATACAAAGGTACATATGTACGTAAGATATATTAAAATGTCATTTGCTCTGTCACATTTAAAATTCATTCTAAACTGGTTTGAGATCATTAATATAAAAATCATTTTATACATACACTTGTGATCAGCTGATTAAGACATCGATTTTTCTGTTTCTTTTTTGTTTATTTAATGTTTATTATTTTTCCATAAAAGCCTAGCTCATTATATAACAAACAAAATATAAATCAACATTTCATACTTTGTGCAAAAATTATAAAAAAAACTCCAAAACTTCAGCTAGATTTTCAACTTTTCATTAAGATTTTTTAGAATTTTTTTGAGTATGCAGGTTGATAGCCCATTAAATTCCAGGGAAATAATGTGCAAGGTTTAAGGTGCTAAAGAATCGCGTTGATTTTAAATTTTTTTTTTTCTTGTAGACATTTGGTTAAGTGGACGGTTGTCGAAAATGCTAAATTACGTTCTGTTAAGAAGGAACATAGCAATATTTCATTACATTTTCAATAAGGGGCCCATGCGGCTAATTGTGTCATTTTCTTTATGCGCTTAAATAAGAGTTAAGTCATCTGTGTCCAAAATATAAATATTTTTTGAAGCAGCAGCGTCAAAAAATAAAGTTTGTAAAGATTTATTAAGAAAATAATTCAAAATCAGTTCAACTTACAAGATTTAGTAACAGAGAAAAATTACTGGAAAGTTAAAAAACGTCATTTTTTACACACAAAATGTCCAAACGTCAACAGGATACAAAAAACGTGCAAATGACGTTAAAAACGTCAACCTGCCAACGCTGCCTATATGGGCAAGCGAGCCCATTTCGCGGGCTAGATCAGGGGAAAATCATGGGCAAACATGAAGGGCAGGGTCGGATCCAGCGGGGCGGTTTCGGGGGTTAAACTACGTGTCAGTCTGTGGCGGACTCACGGGGGTGTTTTAATACATAGAGGCCATATTATACATACATACATATATATACATAGATATACATATACATTCATTGAATGGGGCAACGAATCTTACTAATTCACGTATACCAATGAGAGCCACGGGACACGCATTCTGGAGTAAAAGGCCCACTCTCCCTAACGTACGCCACATACACTCCACGTCATTTGAATAGCTCAATCTTTTGATCCTTATGCCGAATTTCCACTAGACATTGAAATTACAAAAAATGTATGTCATTTAAAAAATGCCATGTGGAAATGAACTTAATGACAAGTTTTTTAGTGTAGTGACACGATTATTTTTTAATGCCCGACTTTGTCATTTGTCATGTTTGCCATTTAATGCCTAGTGGAAATCCAGCATTAGTATTTACATTTTTAATTTTGTTTATTTAATATTCACTACATCCGATTTTAAAAATATACAGAGTTAAAAAAATGTCAACAACGGGGTACAATAAAGTGCAAGTTTCAGTTGTCTGTAAAATAGCGGTGATTTTTGACAATTTTGTTGGTGATGGTGCTGCGCATTTTCTCTCATACAAAGTATGCTCGTCAAAATTTTTATAGGGAATAAAATGCGCAGCACCGTCAATAAAAAATAAAAAAAATAAAAAAAAACAGGGCTATTTTAGAGTCACTTGAAACTTGACCTCTATTACACTATAATTGAATGGGCTACAAGACTGCATATCCGAAATTTTTCTAAAAATATTATTAACTTATTCACTGTAGGTCATTAGGATGGCACACTCCTATGTTGACCTTTTTTAAGAACTGTTTCCAGCTCTCAAGAAAAACGAAAAACTCACATAAAGTGCTGCCCAAGAAATGGAAAAGAAATTTTCTTTTATGTTTTAATTTGTAAAAAAATTTAAAATTGCATTTACCCGTAGAATATGCTATATTTTTACAAAAAAATTTATATTTAATATAAACAAAAGGAAAACTGTAAATACTAAGGATTGAAAGGGTGTGCAATTCAAATGACGAGGAGTGTATATAAGCAGATGTGATCACTACCACAAGTAAACGCGAGCTGAAAGTGTGATTGTGTTATGGTCTGATTATGGAAACATGACGTAACTTACGGCTCTACCTTAAAAATTCTGTTAAATGGGTGTTGCTTATAATTGAACAGCCGAAACTTAACGTAACTTAATGCCACATGGAAATCTGTTTCATTTTGATTCTCTAAGTTCTACGTTCCGTTAAGTTAAGATAAGTTGCCATAATCAGGCTCTTAGTTCGAATGATTTGGCGTTCACTTTGTTACGCTCTCGCATGTATACGCATGTAACACGATTGTATTCTATCATTCTTGCGCATGTGATGCTTACGCTCTTTAAGCAGGCGCTCACTCTCTGTCCATGCTTGTATATGAGCAAATTTGACATAGCTACAACTGTTCCCAACTTTGAGCCTTTCGCAATAAATTACGTACGTTTAGGGAATTAAAACGCGAAAATTGTTTAGTTTAGCGCTTGTTTCGTTCTTTGGTGCTCTTTTCAAGGCAATTTCATAATAAAAACGTGATTCTATGGGGACATTGTATTTATTTTGTTCATTCATTTATTCATTCCAAACGTACGGAAAACTTTATCCGTTGACTTACACATATGTTAGTGTTTGGCCGAGCTTCTTCTTTGGATAATATACCCCCAGATAATCCAAACGCAATACACACAGTCTCTATCCCGGAATTCATAGAATATTCTGCTAATTAGCTGGGTGTGCGCATTTGTACAAAAGTAAGAAATTGCATGAAAATAAAGCCGCTAGAGAAACCAAGTAAAGTTTTGCAAATTGTTTTACGAATCAAAAAACATTTTGCAAATTAAATTAATTAAATTAATTAACTGCGCATAGTTGAAAATATTTACAAATGACATTGCGTGATTACTTAAAATATTTGAACATACAGCTTTATATGCAAAAATACCATTACACACAGCAACACAAATTTGGTGTTGTTTTTTTTTTGGAAACTTGCGCTACTTTCAGTGTTTTGGTGCTTTTTTAAATAAAAAACTTGGCAATACTGATCACTAGCCGACCTTCATCGAGCGCTCTTTGCTGGGTTCCGACACAAAAAATGGTAGTAAAAATCAAGTTTTCGTACTAGATGTGCATTTCTTATCTTTATAAAAAACAATTCATTTCTCCTCGTATCACAGCATTCTGGGACTAAATAAGGGGCTAAAGCTGCCTTTACAAGGGTCGATTTTTGTAGACTGGAAAATCGACTAGCCAAAGCATTTACATTTTACGGTTGAGATGTCATTTACACGGGTCGATTTTGGTTGAACGACAAAAATCTATTAGAAAATCGACCCGTGTAAAGGCGCCTTAATCCAGCGAGCAATTATCATTAAAGTTAAAATGTCTTGGTTAAAATTAATAAAAAATTATTTCTTCCTTTACCGGGACAATTGTTACATCGGAGGGCAACGACGCAATTACAGAACTTTAGACAAGCAATCTTTTTCGATCGGGTTCAAATCGGACGATTGTGAGGGCCTATTCACGAATTCAAGTCTATTTGCAAAGGTGCTGTAGCTCACCAATGCAACAATCGTGTCGAGTCCTTTCTATTTGAAGAGTAAATTTTTTGATGCAACAAAACGGAGCAGATTTTCAGTTGAGTGGTGTAGAGGAATAGGTTTCAAATTATTTCTACGAAAGGGAACAAATCTACTCTTATCGGAGCAAAGTCCGAACGATGGCTTATTGTGTATATGAGGAAAATTTACGCTCTTGGTTTCGTGCACAAAGTCAGTATTACCGCAGCCGTACTGCGATGAACATGATTTCGGTGGAGATATAAATAATTTTTTCGCAATTTTTCATACCCTTCCCCCCCATAAACTGTTTTTCCATTTATCTTGCCCGCGCTCGCACTTTCGCTGCCGCACGGACAAAAAAGTGCCCATCTCTGCTCTACTCAATAGTTATACATAGCCTGCCATTCGTAAAGCAATCCTCTTGCTAAGTGTTTACTGCGGAGGCACGTCACGCGGAATGGAGTGCTCGTTGTAAATTATTATGTAAAGAAAAAGACAAGGTTTCGAAATATTAAAAAGTGGTGCAAGTGAATCAGTTATTAAGCGGCGGGGTACAAATGTATTCGCGTGAGTTTCTATGTGTATGCATGTACATGTACGGTGCATGTTACTGCACATTAGGGTGGTGCAATATATTTAAGCTGGAGGCCTAAACATACCGGCCCTCTTGCGGTAAGCAAAATCTGTAAGTTGACAAGGCAGCTACCAGGCGCACGTTAGGAAGGGTCAAATAAATACTGGTATTATTTCGCACATAGTTATGTATGCATATGTGTAAACAGGTCCGAGTAGCTATATTTCAGTGTTTTTCCCCTTCGTAATTGGAATATTGTGTTATTTTACTATGCT